GTATCAGGAATGACAGAAGAATGGTAAATATTAGAGGAAAGGTTGCGGGGCATCCCTTCTTTAGACACAAGCATGCATTGATGCTAAAGCCAGTCTTTGAAGAAGAAGCCCCGGACGAGGATCCTTGCTCTCGAAGCGAATTTTTGATGAACGCAAATGAAGCAATGGAAAATTTGGACTATTGGATTTGGATTTCAGAGAATTATCCGGAGATGAGAATCCTGGAAGGTCTGAGAAAGAACAAGTCGTTGCAGGCGCTGTCGGGGCCGAAAGTTCATGCAGAGTGCGACTTGATTTCTCACACCTACAAGCGATCAATGATACGGACCTCTTTTTGACTTTTTAAGCAATTCACATGTACGGTGCACGGAGTTCTTGGGATGGCCTCAATATGGTATTTATCATCACGGTTATTGCAGGGCTTTGTTTCAGAGAAGTTGCTCGGAAATGCAACATAGAGAGAGGCACCGAGAGCATGATTCAGTATTACGTATCGCGCAATGGTTACATACCCACAGCGCAGAAGCATGGAGCTATATATGTCCTTGCACGAACTCCAATCTTCACTTCGCCTTCTATTCTATATTCGTGTTGCTTAAAATAGTCGTTTTTGTGCTTCCAGCATTTTCTCACCATGAAATGAGAAGTATCACTGCAGTACTGTCATCAGCGGGTCACTTCATCCAGGAGCAGTTCTGTTTGTACGTAAGTGTCTTACTACATCCAATTATTAGTGGCTTGATGGGCGGAGAAAATGAGCACGGTCTCAAGAATTTGAAGACGAACAAATTGTTGTCATTGGCATCTGCAGTAATGAGGCAATAATTAATGACTATCAAAGACGTTGTACTTCACGTGATGTGCAAAAGAATAGAATATAGAGAATTAGGATTGGTGACTGTTAACTGTATACATGGATTCACGTTCAATGGCATATTCCGGAAGATAATTTGTCTAGAATAGATAGATGCATTGCCATACCAGTTGAATGTAGAATTGGAATGCCTGAAAATAAACCTCATGCATTGTCAGTCAAATAGGGTATGCGAGGAAGATTCCCCTTCAAGGATGCGTGGATCAGTTTTCTGAAGCACAAGAGAGATTGGATTGTTTAATTAAAGGGCAGCGGTAATTTGAGCGTCCCATGTTCCTATATATCAGTGGAGAAGAGGGATTACTGAGTTTCACCGAAGTAAGAATTACGACATACAGCATGCAATGGCTGCAGGATTTCGAAGCTTTCTGGTTAGGAACAGCTAGCTATGAGCGACTGGAAACGACCAGATAGAATACTGCCTATGCGGACTCCGAAAACGTCACAAGTTATATGCATTCATACAGGTACATAATGACGGTAACGCTAGGATTGGGATCAATAAGCTCTAGGGAATCTTTGCATGTGAAAGTGATATGCTAATCTCGAAAACCTCGAAGCACCCAAAGGCCTTTATTTCATGCAACACAAAGCCGCCTTACTTGATGCAGAACCTTGTGTACAAAACCCACGACATTTGTCCTGATAGCAGAACATTGGGCGTAGAAGCGGGCTACAGCTTTTTCGCAGACTTAAATTCGCAGTCTGGAAAAATGCAATATAGAAGTGAGCTCTACATGACGGGTGTACCGTCAGAACAAGGGCAGTTTACGAACGGTATTGTGGAATCACCATGTAATCCCCCAGCGCTCATTGGGGCAAGGGGGAATCTGAACGTGACCGTCACATCACGCAGTCACGCCACCGCCGCCGTCGACCGCGGCGGTGCTTGAGGGAATACTGTATTTCAGGGAGGGTCTTAACTTGCCCGGGTTTGCTTTGCTTGCCCGAGTTTGCCGGTCATTTATTAATTTATTAATGTAAGTACACGCCTTCCCCTTACGTTAGTAGTGGACAGGTGTCCTTTCCCTTACGTTAGTAGTGGACAGGTGTCCCAGAGCGACGGTGCTGACTTACAGAGGCATACAGCGCCATAAATTGCCAGAACGCAACGGGGAGGACACTGTGGGTTCTACAAATTCGCTCCGAGGACGCATCGACAGGGACGTGACATGCTGCAGCGTCAAACAACTTCGCCCCAGGGACGCGTCGACATGGACGCGAGACGCTGCAGCGTCGCTCGCTTCCGACCCAGAACGTGGCCATTGCGGGTGATCCCAGATCATCGGGATAAATAATTGATCTCACCCCCTACTTCTCTCCTTACTACTCCGCGGGATAGCGTATCTATCGCCGGCGCTGTTTGGTCAAAAAACGGATCTACAACCACTGCCCAGTATCGCCGTTCGCCTCCCCTCCTTTCTTCTCAATCTAATCACTCCTACGCAATGCACGGCAATAGAATCATCACTGCTACGACCGCACTAACCGCAACCGCAGCTCTATTCTCCCTCCTTTCATTGCACCAAGCTATTTCAAACTATCCTCGACCCCGAAAATTCACAAAGCCCTTAGATCTCGGACGGGGATGGACTTTTGTCAGAGCCATCAGGATTTTTAACGACAAAGAATTCAGTCGTACATACCGTATGGAGGGGGGGATAATATTTGGTCAGAAACGTCCGCTGCAGACGAGGAAGCAATAGTGAGAGACTTTGCGTTGGTGGCCCCCGTCTTCCGAATGGTGGGAGTCAGAGAGATGCGCCAGAGGCGCGGAGAACGGCGCACGTGGCATTGAGGTGTGGAAGCCATTTTCAGGAAAGTAGTCGGCAGAGAGGTGCTTCGTAGAGTTGGGTTGCCTTTGCGAGATGGCAGGTGCATAGATTTTTGCAAAGGGGATGTTGAGGATGTTTTCGGCACGGGGCAAGCACTGCGTCCACCGGAGCACAGCGTCCAAATTCGAAAGTTACAAACTTACAAAAGTAGCCAATATATGATTGACATTTGTCATTACACACTGACATAACTTGAGCTTGCAGTGTAGGGTCGTACTTAGTTTCAAATCATATATTAACGCCCAGTAGCCAATAGTAGTGCAAATCATGGCTCGGGGCAAGCAAACCCGGGCAAACTCGGGCAAGTTAAGACCCTCCCTCAGTCCCCCGAACTCCCATTGGGGACGTGCTGCGTTCGGCAGTCAGTTCGCTTCTCGCTTTCCCTCCCGCCATCCCGCGTCTCACCGGCTGCTCGCAGCTTTCTGTGTCGTTTTAGAACGCAACTAGTGGAGTGTGTCTACATGTCTACGTATCTACACGGTTACACTCTCCAACCTTCGACTCCAATTAAAGAATTGTGTCATCAGGCATCACTGAGCAGCCGGCCCCTTCGCGAGCGTATCCATTACGAAGTATTCAACGACTAGTGTCTAGACGACAAGTGACCTCATGTGAGGCTATTTAACTTATTTTTCTCGACTTGTGCTTGCTCAACAAGAAGGAAAAAGATACTCGCCACCGCAGTTGACTTCTACGTTGCGGAAGAGTGAAGTTTGGTGAGATCTACAGTCTTTTCCAGCCATTTTTAGAATTCCAAAAAAGAAGCTTTTTGAACGACCTCAAAATGTTACGAGTTGGTATCTTCGAAAGCAAAAGGCCTGTTTAAAATGTCAAACGAAGATTGAAACTGGATTCTTATTCGTTCTGTGTATTCACAAATGCTATCCCAATGCTTTTGCAAGACGTTATTGCCGAGGGCATATACGTTAAAGAAATGGTGTCCAAGATGACTTTATAAAATTTCGATTAAATATATGTTTGCGAAAAGGCAGTCTCATATGAGGTAAATCGCCTGTTGTCTAGCTAGTGTCTATCATAACTAGCAATCTGCAAATTTTATTTCTTTTCAACTTTGATGGCCACGGTTTCTATTTTTCTTTGGTAGATTGACTGGTTCTAAAATTTTTCTGCAGTTAAAACCGAATAAAAAGCACTCAAGCCCATGTTTCTATGCTACTGGTATAAAATTAGCCTAAGAAAAATGCGTACTGTCAGCCAACATTTTTTTTGTACACCTTTATATGCATCGACAAGTTGGTTTTCGCTGGAATCGACAGGCAAATGATTTACCTCCGGTGATGGCCTTCTGGTTTCAAAAAACAGAAGTAAAGTCGCGAGTTGGGTTGTCTAGAAAAACTAAAGTAAGTTTTGTCCTCGTATGAGGAATAACGGTCCGATGGACACTAGTGTCTTTGAACCTTTGTCCTCATATGAAGACATTATTCGACATATTTTATTCTTGACTTCTAGTTCCTCGATAAGAAAGAAAAAGATACCCTCGCCACTGTACTTGACTTCTGACTTGGGGACAGAAAGAACTTGGTGAGAATTGCATGTTCTTCCTGGTCATTTTTAGATTTGTCTGGAAAAGAAACTTTTTAAACAACCACCAAACCGCATGTAAAATAACTTCGAAACCAAAAACACCATCTAAAAAAGGGAACCAGATACTCAATCTGCATTACATTCTAAATCTTTCTGCGTATTCAAAGCTGCTATCCCAGTGTTCTGCAAGATGTTACTGGCGAAACAAGTGCGCTAGGGAAATAGTGTCAAAGATGGCTTTTATTTGTCTAATTCAACTTATATATTTTTGCAAAAAAAGAGCTGTCCTCATATGAGGACATCGTCGTCCTCATAATATGAAGTTATCCGACTGGGGCTTGTTCTCATATTATGGGAACAAGCCCCGGTCGAATAACTTTGGACACTAGAGGGCTCCCGATTCCCATTACCATCATGCACCAAACAGCATGTCATTTACTTCCGCTTTTCGATAGTACCCCGTGCTTTTCAAAGGGGAGGGTGTCCCATAGGAACGTTGTGAAAACTACCGCTGGTCATTGTTAGAAGCTGAGCGTCTCAGTACAGTGGGTGTAACCGGGAACCGCCAGATTACCAAATCACCAGTTTATGAGAAGTTTTCAAAAACCCCCAATTTCGCCACTTCACCACTCCGCCACTTCCCAGGCCTTGTTGTTTGTGCCATATCCATTCGTGTGTCTGGCTGCGGGGTGAACCCTACCGAACGTGCCCACGCACTTCAAGCCCACCACAATCTCTTAGCCCAAATGGCCACCATCCTCCCCACTGCATCAGACGGCTCCATGCTGACCATCCCTTATGGCCAAGCCGCCTCTCACCAAGCTCAAGCAGCCGCCCAAGCCGGGACTGCCCTCTACACCGCCGGCAGCCCCTCGTCCGACACAATCGACCTCGTTTCCGGCCCTCCCCCGCCTGTCGCATCGTCAACCCCTCCTCTTCCTTCACCCTCTCAGCAGGGTGCTGCGCCGAAGCCTGTTAAGCGAGGCTCTAAGCAAACAACGGCAGGTTCTCTGAACTATTCGAAAGAAGATATTAACATGCTGCTGGAGTTTGTTGGCGCAGTAGAACCACTAGGTGCCAATCATTAGGCTATAGTAGCGGACCGCTACGCTACGTGGGCTGTAGAAAACGATTGACCTCCAAGAGACCATGACTCGATTAAGAACAAGTTCGACAAATTGGCAAACGCAAAGAAGAAGACAGGCGACCCTTCATGCCCCTCACCGGTTCGGAAGGCCAAGCACGTAGCGCGTGCGATCCAGAAAAAGTGCACCGCTCGTGTTCTAGGAGACACCGATGAGGAGGTTGAGAAAGATAGCTTGGCTGCGGGAGGGCATTGGGAAACTGAAGAAGCTGAGGGGGTTCTCGTTATAGGAGCGCGTCAGAAGAAACAAAAAGTAGGAGCTACAAGGACCACAGCGACGACAACACCGCTGTCGCACAACTCTACCAGCACCGACAAACAGTTCTTGGGACAGTTTGAGAAGATGACAGACCACATGAGAAGCATTTCGAGATCTCTGTTTGATAGGGCAGGTGAGGCTGGAGACGCCATGAGCCGCGAAGACATCAAGAAGGCCGTGAAGGAGGAGGTCCGTGAAAGCCTGCTACCCACGAATAAGCTGCTGCGGGAGATGTCGGACATGATAAAAATCTTTCGCAGGATAGAAACAAGGTCACGCCTACGGCGCCTATAGACGAGGGACAGAAAAGTGAGATGGGTGAGTTGGCGGGGGGGAATTCAGTAGCAGGCAGCTGCTGGCGTTGCTGGTGCAGCTAGCAGAACTGCTAGGAGGGGAAAGATCGGAAGCATGAGTGCGGTTCGTTGCGCTTTCTGCTGGCGATGGTTGTTCGTCTTGTTCCTGCCTTTTTCGTGCACAGCTCTACGCAGACCTAGTCGGATGTGGTCATTTCGATAGTTATATCGATTATTTGCAGCCAAGCCAGCGAGGCGTTCGGTCCCTTGCTCCATGTACAGTAACAGCTTGCACCCACGCCGAACGTATGGGCCATGAGGTTGGCGAATACGGAGTGAATTGGGCTTTATTCGTTCTGTTGTCGAGCGAACGTGGTTCTAATCTCATTAAGACCAACAAAACGGGTACGAAAGTTAAGAAGATGGCAACATAGCGTTAGTAAACGAAGTCGGGTTGTTGAATCTGCAGGGAGGGGGACTTTCAACCTCGGGAATGGCCCTTTTAACGTGCGAATAACCCATTCAGCCGTTTGGCGCTCACTCGGCATGACCCTTTGTGGGATAATATCTACAGCAGCAAGGGAATTAGAGCACGGGATATCGTGGGTCTTACGGCCCCTTAGAATCTTTCCATGCGTAACACGGACATTGTTAACGAATGCGCTGTCCCCCAGGAGCGCCATTCCAGGTTTAGTAAACTCATCCGAGAGCTTGAGATAATACAACCAAGAAACCGTTGCCAATTTTTTATCATGCCAGCTACCGGGGTAGTTTACCGCAGCATGGATCAGCTCCCCGAAGAAGTTGAAGACGAAAAGGTTTGTGACTTCGACAGCCTGGGTGTATCCCTCAAAGTATGCATTTTGCAAGTTTGCGTTTGTAAAGTCCGCACAGGGCATTCGTCCTCCATCTTTCACGGCAAAAACGCCCTGTAACAGCGGCCCATTGATTCTGTTATTTTCCAGGAGTGCTGCCGACGCTTTCTGCTCGTCGTGAGTAGGCCAGCGGATATCGAACTCCTTCTTACGCTTTACTACATGCAAGAGAACTTCTAAACTGTAGTCCATCCACACACCGATACTGCTCCCTACGATTCCGAAAATTGGACACAGGCTGTACATCGTACCCCTAGTCTTCAAGTACCAAAGGGCCATTCCAAGAAGATCTATAGTATCCAGTAAAGGCTTTCGATCTGTTGTCTTCGGTCCTTGTCAATACGGGCTTCCAAAATTATACCGACTACGCTCGGTTGCGAAGTACAGCAGAATGTTCTCCAGAACATGCGCCTTGGTGAAGTTTGTACTCACCAAAAAGTCAACATCCAATCCGCAGGACAGTATCTGGTTCCATGGGGTAGCCTTCTGATGACCTAGCGGGCGCAGCAGGGCGGCGCGGCGATATTTCGGGGGTGAGCGTGCGCGCCTCGCTTTTTGACGACCTTGGCAGCGGGATCGCCGACGGATTATCTGCCGCAACCCCCATGCAGCTGCGAAAGCAGCTACACATGATGCAACAGCAGCGGCTCGAGCCCCACGGTGAGAGCTCAAGGTCGCCATGGTGGATTTTCTGCGCGCAGTGCGGCTTTGCGGCAGGTTTCCTATCTGCCGAGTGCCCTACTTTGGCCGTTTATGACCTATTCCCAGAATTGTTTGGCAAGTGGCGAACTGGATCGACCCCTGCGGGGCCGACCGAGATGATAAAATCTGGCGGGCGGGCGCCATATTTTGAGGCCTGTGATTGGCCTAAATGTAGCGAAGTGGCGAAGTGGTCATATCTGGTTGCAACCAGTAGTGGTGATAGAGTGGAGAATCGCAGGTTCATCATTTGTCTATCAGATCGCCACGCACTTCAAAGATATGGTGCTTCCGTGACGATTTTACACGTGTGCCTGTATTAAAGATCATAGAGGTCCTAGACGATTAGTTCCTAGACGTTAGTCTAGGTGTAAGCAAGAAAAAAGGGGACGGCTCGTTACACGTGTTCACTTTTCTGTAAAGTACACGTGTTCACTTCTATTTATGTCAGTCTTTATGAGGGGAACGGGGCGGTGCTGAACTTTTCTGCAAAGTAGTGAAGTACACGTGTTTACTTCTCTTTATGAGGGGAACGGGGTGGTGCTGTCCGCACGGCTGTTCGCAGAGGTGTACAGTCACACCCCAATGCTGTAACGGCTGTTCGCAGAAGTGATGTGCAGAGGTGAATGCAGCGCGCCAAGACCGGCGCGCTGCGCGTCGTCGACGTCGGCACAGGTGCGGGGTTCCCAGGGCTCGTCGTGGCCATCGCGAGGCCGCAGTGGGACGTCACGCTGCTCGAGGCCACGCGTAAGAAGACGCGCCTCCACGACATCGTGGAGCGCGAGCTGGCCCTGCGCAACTTCACGTCCGTGTGGGAGAGGACGGAGGAGGTCGGGTAGAGTAAGATGCATCAGGGCGGTATGACGCGGTCGTGGCACGGTCGTTGGCGGATACGCGCGTTTGCTGCGAATTGTGCGTGACGCTGGAAAAGGTGGGGGCCGTGTTTTTCACGCAGAAGAGCGTGGGCGCGGGACCTGAGGAAATTTCCGCCGCGAAGGACGCCATCAGAAGGCTGATCACCGACACAAGGTACTTGAAGTCCCTAGCTTCAATTATAAGTCTCGAAAGAGGTGTTCCTTTTGGAATTGGTGAAGGTCCTATCAATGGCATACTCGGGTCAGGTTCTCCCTTCTCACCGCCATTCTCTGCGGAATAGCCCTTTCCTCGGCGCCCTGATTTGCTCCGGCTGTCACGACAGCTGCCTCTGGGCCGAAATCTGTTGCTCGCAATCCGATAAATTTGAAGTTCCAATTCTAATGCTGCCTTGACATGACCCATCCCGTCACATTTTTCATAGAGATATATATTTCTACCCGCCCGAACGAGTGGCTGCAAGACCCATTCCGCGAGGACCAACTCATCGGCCAAGTCAACGTCTCCTTCGAGGAGCTGTTCCAGAATATGACCACTTCCGTCGTTCGCGGGGACCCCGCCGATGGCGAAGACTATGAAGATCGCGTGCGTGAAGTTGCCTTGATGAAGCCGGAGTACTATAACTTTGATGGCATGCCTGAAGGGCCGGCAGATCCCTACGACAAGGGCGTCGCCTTCCGCGGATGCGTCCTTATCGGCATCGGAGCCAAGACCGGAGACGTCGAGGAGCCAATCCTTCGGCCATGCCCGCCCTACACGCGACCGAAAATCGAGTTTTACAAAATGGAATTTTCCGTCTTACGTGCGACCGAGCTCCCGCTCTTGCGCGGGAAGCTGGAATGTGTGCGCGAGGCGTGGCCGTGAGAGTGGATGCAGGGGCAGGGGGAAGAGGCGGAGGAGCTTGACGGAAGAAAGAAGTG